CTAGCTGCAGAAGCACACCCTGGGGCTGACATTCACCCTGCTGGTTCAAAGCAAGAGTAGCCCTGGTTTCTTATGAGCACAGTACAAACCATGCGGTGTTCACGCACCCAGAGACAAAGGTCTAGTGTCCTGCCCGCCACCCCGAGAGGTGTCCAAGCAGCTCTGCAATGCTTTAGACGCAAGGGTTGCAAGTGATCCATCAGCAAACAGTCAATTTACAACAGGTAGCCAGGTTTTTAAGTCACTTTACTGAGCCCAGTGTGAAATTCAGATATTTTTTTTTTTTAAACCAGCAGCTATAACCTTTCAAATTAAGCATACATTTGGTTTCAAGAACATATTGATAGCAAAATGGTTGCACACATTTTATCCTGAGAGCAATGTAATAAACCCAGAATTACAGTGTAGTGAAGTGAATGAATTGGCTAAGATTAAGAGTTAAGAACCTAAGTCATATTTAAGGATAGGGACATTTAAGTAATTGCACAAGCACTGCTCCACAGCACAAAGGCTGTATCTAATAACCACATTAATGATATTCCAAGAAAAAATAATCTAGTGACAACTTAATCTTTTAAAGTAAAGCAGGGAGGGTTGCCTTTACCTGCAAGGTCAAAATCTTTCATTTAAATCAATTGGGACAAGTCATTGCTGGCCTGATATTTCAGCTTGCTTTATTGTGCTAGTACCTACCATCATGTCATTAACACTGTTTATCTGCTCAAATAAGTAGTACACAAACTATCTCAGATCCAAGGTGGACTTGTAAACAGAACCTAAGGGCTTTTCAAGTACCATAGATATTATTTTGGATGCTTGATACTGCTATAAATTTTAATAACCGTATTCCCATTAAACTCTTATCACCAGAGCACACTCTCAATACTTAGTCCAGCTGACTGCGCACAGTGAAGCTCAACTCCCCTTTTTTTGCATGAAGGGTTGCATATTTTGCTTGCAGAAGCACAGAAGGGACCACTCTTCGCTCCCCAAACAGGGAACCTATTTTTGCATATATTAGCAAGTGCTGAAAAAGTTATAAATTACTTATTTTAATAAAAGAGGAAAAAAGCTAAGAGCAAAGGATAAATGCACATGGATGGGGACAAGCACACTGTGTTGCAGCAGACCACCCTGTGCTTGGTCACCTTGCCTTTCAGGGTGGGATATTGCATTTTTAAGGAATCTGACCAGAAATTAAAGCCCCAGGTCCCAGCAGGACACATACACAAGGCAGCACTGCACAACAAACTGCTCCTCCCCAGCAACTTGCTGGGGCACACATGATGTGCAGGAGAGGTTGCAGCTCAGAAAGCATCAGCAGCCTCCTATTTCCCAGTGCTCCCATGCCGCTGGAGCAGAGACAGCCACAGAGGGGCCACATGGTTTTTCTACTGCCCAAATTGGTGTGTGACCTGCGCTAGCTCACACCCAGCAGCGGCACCCCTGCCCCTGCTCCGCATGCCTCTCCCAGTAAGAGGGGAAGGGATGCAGGGATGTGCAGAGATGCGACATCCACTGCTGCCTGTGGCATAGGATAGGGGTAGGAGAGCCCGGGAGTTGCTCCCAGCAGCTCTGTGTTACAACAGGGATGGTCAAGGCCTTTGCTGGGTCTCTCCCCACAGCCACATCAGAGGGCTTTGCTCTCCCAGCCATTACATGGCCTGCAGCAGCATGGAGTGGATGCAATAACCAGGCAGTGCCACCCACCCAGATCCCACCGAGGCGCCCGAAAACAGAGTCAGGGAAGGAAGATAGTGATCCCGGTGTGAATATAATCCTTGTGGCCACAGCACCACGTGCCTTCCAGATGTCACCATCATCCATCATGCATCTGCTTTGACCTGCCTGCCAGGGAAGGTCGCCCAAGGACGGCGCATAGTGCTTGTAGATGTTAAAACCATCCTCATGGCTGGAGCTCTCAGAGCAGGAGGGCTATCAGCCCATGACTGCAGAACTGGGATGGATATTATGCAAGCAAAGCCAGTTACTTCAGTGGCAGCAGTACTGGTATCGCTGATGCTAAGGTGGTAACCATTTCCCTGTCTGCTGCAGGCAGCAGGAGCACACAGCAGATTTTTGGAGGGGTCAGAGCCCCAAGGGCCAGGACTGCAGTGGGATGAAGGCTCTCATCACCACAAGCAGCAGCAGTGGAGTGTCTAACCCTCCTCCCCCCTCAGGGCACCAGCTAGTCTGCTTTACTTGATGTTTCCATCCTTAAAAATAGCCTGGGCTTGGCAGCCCCAGACAGCTTCGGAAGAAGAGGCGACCCAGGGTGTTGACCTCTTGCACAAATTGGTAATTCCCCTCCCGCGCCCATCCCCGCTCAGAGTACATCCAAATGGCGGCTGCACCACCCGCTCCTCAGTGGGCTGGGCAGCCAGGACGCTGCTTGCATTTTATATTAATAAGGAAATAATCTTGCCTTGTAACACTCTACCAGCCCCTGCTGATGAACCCCTGCAGCAGGGGAGCTGAGCTCCCTGGCACTGCTGCAGCCTGATGCCAACCGCACCAGCATGACACACTGGTAACATGTCAACAGGGAAGGTACACGCTCAGTGTCACACCAGCCCAAAGGCAATGCCTCACCCTGGCTTACACAGAGCCACGTCCATTTATGCTTCGCTGTACTGTATTTACACCAAAACTTGCAACCCTGTTATCAGCTTTATTTTACGGCTGATGAACAGCCTGGGAGTGAGAGCCTGCAACTCCACTCCCTGCATTCTGCCCAAAGTTCAATATATTATTGCCCCCAGCCACATCATCTCAGTTCATCCTTGCAGAGAAAGAGTGAAGCTTAAGAGCACAGGCTCTTCCACGTGCACAGAGCTAGAGCTCTGCGCACACGTGTGCCTGGGAAGTTATTTTTTAAATATGAAATGTGACCCTTGCACTGAATTTGAAAACCCTCAGACTGGTTGAAGCTAACAAGTTGAATTCCTGGAAAGCAAAGCGGTTTTTGGCTCAACACCCCATCATTTAAGGCCTTTCAAGATTTTTACCCCTTACACAAGCGATAAGCATTCGAATTTTTTAGATGAAAAAATTAATATAATTTTTACAGCGTATATATATAATATTTCTATACATAATATGTATTTTTATGTTACAGATAATATACATAAATATATACAAAAAATTAAAAAGAAGCCAACTAATCAAAGTTCCCACCCTGTATTTACCAGCATAAATTAATTCCTTCACATGACAGTGGTTCAGGTCAACTCCATTTCCAATGGAAATCAAACCTTTAATCAAAATGATAATTATTCAAGAAATACCTGAGTCATTCATGCTGCTGTTCCTCTTGGCATAGGCACTGCGGACCACCTGCTCATACACCTGAGCTCCTATTGTTCGCATGTTTTCACGAATCATGATGCCTTGGGCTTGCATCATGAAGAGGTAGGTGTTCACTGCAAGGGAGACAAAAAGAAAAAGGAATACTTCCATGACCACCAGCTTTTGTAGGGAAGAGAAATAGGAGTCTTTTGGAACCATTCCCAGCCTCCTCCTTGGTTTCAGCTCCCTCCTGCCAGGAGGATCCCTGGGTCACACGTGCTGCGGTTGCCCGACAGGAGCTGGGAAGGGCACAGAGTTGGGAAGCGGAGGCGTAAGGCACATTTGGAAACACAGCTGGTTAAAAACGGGAGCGCACCCAGCCAGACCTGACAATGCAGGCTGTAATGTAGCACTGCAGCTTAAACAACAGTACCTTTTGCTGCCTAAGGTGGGAGGTTTAATTAGGAAATACTGTAACAGGAAACTAAACTGCACACCTGGAGAAGGGCTTTGGTTCCTAGACTGCAGCACCAAGGGTGACACTTGGCAGAGGTACCTCAGTGAGCACCACAAGAAACATCCCATCGGCAATCCAAGTGTCCCAAAGCAGACAGCACGTTGCAGCACAAGTCCCCGGGGTCCCCAGGACCACCCCCCCAGCCAGGTTTCTTCCCCCCCTTGCTGACCCCATGCCCTGGCACCGCTCAGGCTGAGCCTGCTTAGGTTTCAGTTTAAGCTGATACCTGGCACTGGCAGGGACGGGCTTCAAAGCAAACAGCGGCAGGCACAGCCCTACAGCACCAAGAGCACCCAAAGGGACAGCAGGGCAGCCACCATGCACACCACAGCACCTCTCTGCATCACAGGGCCAGCCACAGCCCCGCTGCAGTGAAGTTTTAGGTTTAAGAACAAAGGGGGAAGAAAAAACCCCCAAAACTTGATTTGAAAATAGGGAGGAGGGGAGAGCTACAAGGCCAATTCCGCACTAGTAATTAAAAAAAAAACAAACAAAAAAACAGGTCAAAAGACACTCCAGGAGGGATGAAGAGGGCACCGGGCCAAGGAAACAACAGAGACCCTGCACAGAGGGGGGCAGTAACTGATGAAATGTCACCAGGAAACGTCCATAACAGGCAGGTCGTTTCTACAGCAGGCGTATCACAGGCTGTAACAGCCTGAAATAAGCGGCTGCCAGTGCCAGGAATGTACAGTCATCGCTGCAGTCACTGGGAGATTAGATAGGGCACCCCGGAGGCGGCACCGCTATCGCGAAGTGAGTGTCCCCCCCAAACACCACCCACCGGCACACACGCTAACGCACTGCCCCCGGTCTCCCCGCCCTGCTTTCCCCTTCTACACCCACAGATCGAGTCAGCCTCCAGAAGGGCTGCCCAGATGCATTTCCCAATCCCTACCGTGTTTTGTTTTCACATAGACAAGTAAACATCTGAAAGTGCAGTGGAGCCCCACGCCATGCCCGGGTGCTGCCTGTGCCCAGCCTGTCTCCAAGCCACGGAGAATCATCGGATTTTCAGCAAGAAGGGGGGTCAGCTGCATTAAATGCTTGGCAACTAAATGGCTTGAAATGCAATCTTAAGTGCCGACTTCCAGCCCCTCCCTTCCCATACATGTACCCTCTGTGGTGAGGGCAGCAATGGCACCTTAAGCCAGCAGTTACACCAGCAACAAGTAGGAGCTGCGTCAGCTAAAGCTGCACCCAACCCCCCTTTGCTCACCCACCTCTTCTGGGGCCAGCTCCGCAACGCAGAGTAACCGCTGGCTCAGTTAGTGGCAGCTACAAAACACACATGAGCTCTGGTGCAGTTTCTTGGCAAGATGCTCCTCCTGCAATGGCAGTAGAGGCAGCAAGGGCTGCTCCTGCTGAGAAAGATGGGGAATTCGCTCCAGCAGATCCCCTGGGGATAAGGCTCAAGGAAAAGCTGGCATTTTATGTGGCACCAGAGGCCAGAAACAAATGTCACTGAAATTCCCCATGCAAAGCCTCACACTCAGCCCAAAATATTCATATGCTCTCACTCGAACTCATCTCCTCCTCAGAGCTCAGCATGAAACCGCATCACCTCCCAGCAGCAGCAGACTGACCCCAGCACCTCTCCCCACCACATCCCCAGCTTTGACAGGCAGCTGCCAACCAGGGCTTATGGAAATGGGAGTCCCTGGGTTAAAAAAAAAAAAAAAAAAGTTACTGGAAATGGGCTATTCAGGGTTAGTGGTGAATAAGCAAGCAACGCAATCAGGCTGGCATGGCCTTAGGGTCTAGGGCAGGATGCACAGGGCAGCTCCGGATCGACCTGCCCGTTCAGGCCAGGCAGAGGGCAGGTCTCCCAGACGACCACAACAAGATGTGGAAGTTGGGCAACTTCTCCTTCAGCTCACCAGCCCACTTCCCAGCTCTGTCTTGGTTGCAAAGGCAACATATTAAGGGTTGATGCCTGGGGCATACAGCTCCTAAGGACGCATTTATAAAGTCTTGCTCCAATAACAGCAACTGAGCTGCACGCAGAAGCACTGTGAGACTCTACCAGGAGGCAGCACAAACCAATGCGTCCAGCAACGAGAACAGCATCCTCCAAAGCCAAGCAAGCACAGCAGAGTGTGGACTCGTAAGGGAGAGCTGCACTGCACAGCCTCACCTCAGCTATCAGCAAAGACTGAGGGTGAGAGAATCCCCCAGCTCCCTTTCCAAAAACTCAAAAAGCTAATCAAGAGCTTCCTCTCCTCTTTTCACAGAGCAAAGGGTAGCTGAGGCCGCTCAAGCTGAGATGTTTACCAGGACCAGACTGCTGATAACGGAAGGAGGGACAGCAAGCTTGCACACCTTCCAGCTTGCATGGAGCTTGAGTCAGCAGCAAGGCCTTACTCGCTGTTGCTGAACAAGTAATTTAGCTTTCTACTTCATTATGCCTTCTACTCACTGGATAAAACACATCCAGGTTTGGTGAAGCATGAAAGAACAGAAGACACACAAATCAGCATCCAATCCCTGCTTAATTTAAGGAAGAGGGAGGTTTGCTGGGCGCAGTGAAAGCGCTGTTTGTTCCCAGCTCCCTCGGCGGGCAGACGGAGCAGGGACTCGCCACAGCCACATGACATGCCTTGCTGGGTCGGACTGCACGGAGCTGCAGCGGGAATCCTGAACAAACTGTCACAGCAGCCATCATCCCAGGGGAGTGTGAGCACAAACAACACCAGCTTTGTTTAAGGCAGCAGTTGCCTTTTCACATGTTAACCCCTTTACTCAAATGATTAAGGAGATACCTGGCCAAGGCAAGCTGTGCCATCAACATGCCAGACACCCAACATCAAGAACCCCCCACAACCATACCGACCCCAGCCCAGGGACAAAAGCCCCTCCTCCTGCCCCTAAAACAACCCACCACCATGAGATAAACTTCACAAACCCGTGCTTATCCAGAAGATGCAATTCATTTGGGTCAGAAAATTGAATTTAAAACACATTATTGAAAACATTTCACTCCCCATACCCACACAGTGGTTAAATTAGCTCCATGGGGCCACCATGGCCAGGGCTGGGTCTGGACCAACATTTGGGAATCACTGTACCGAACTCAATCACTCCTCAGTTTACTTCGCTTTTGATGAGCAAACTGGCCACATTTTAAATTTATTAAGCCTGACCTGGCTGACCCTACAGAGCTCACGTCTCCTGTACCCCAAAAGTGGCATTTCCCAGAGCCATAGTGCCAGAGCCACCACCAGTAGAGGAAGGAGATGCCAAGCATCCCCACTGCTGCCCTCTGCCAGGGGAAAACCACGCATACTCACGATGCATTCAGCCTGAACCAGGGTTCAGCCAGAAAGCAATTCTCCGTGTTGTGAGATACTGCTAATCTAATCACATAGGATGATCTTGAAAATTACATTGGCCTTCTGCCTTTATTCCATTTGAGCACACAGCAGTTCAGACCACATACACGCAGTGATAACAGCCTGGCTACGGCCGTTGAGCAGTGGGACAACGACAAGAGGGATTTTAGCTGCTGACAGTGGGGGTGGGGGAGATGTCCCTTTCCCTAGCAATTTCCAGTAGACCCTCACTACCCACATAGAAAACAGGCAAAATTTATGCATCTAGTTGCCCAAATGACTGTCTTAAGATTATTCCTGTTAGTTTGTTAAAGGACAAGTCAGCACTGCTAGGATTTAAATACATGGAAACCATGATATCAGACCTACAGCTTGTCACTAGCCAGAGCAGAGGCACACAGCTGCACCCCAGGGCTAGTGCACTCCTCAGGAAGCTGCACCCCAACCTCCCTGCTCGCAAACAACAGGCAGGGCAAGTGCTCATCTAAGCCAGGAGTGGATGCAGCAACTTCAACCAGGGAGGTAAAGTCCAATTATACAAATGAGTGCTGAAGGCTTCCTGTAATCACTTCTCTGTTGGTATTTTCAGAGCACTTCTAATCAAGAAACAGCTGACTCTCCCATGGAAAATTATTTTCACCATGACAATATGTACTAGAGGAGGCAGCAGGGTAATTTACAGCTCAGGAGTCGATTCGGAAGAGGATCGAGCATGATCCACATCAGCTACCAACACAGGAAGGGAACAGACCTGACAAGTCTTGCACCTGACCCCAACACGCTTCCACCGCCTGCAGAAAGACCCTTCCTTCCAGCATCCCCCAGTGCAGTACCCCAAGCCCCTCGTCAGGAGAGACAGCCACCAGGGCTGGGGTCAGGAAGAAGGGTCAGGCAGTTCACGGCAGCCCTATGCACCCACAGCAGTATCGGCGCCCAGCACGACAGGCAGGCTTTCCTGAGGAAGAAGTGGCTCTTCCTCTGTTTTGAGATTTAGGGCCTTCTGTCACATTCAGCATTTTTCCCAGCTCATTAGGCCATCAGCGCTGCACAAGCACAGAGGGGCTGTTTGTGAGTTTATCACGGTCTCACTGCAACGTGCAGCCTTCTCCTGCTGGCACCCGGGGCTCTGGAGCAACTGGACCCCACCCCAGCAAGGGCAGCCACCATGAGCCCCTGCCCCAGGAGCACACATCTCAACCAAGAGTCATTAATCAATGTACAACCACGGGAATTGCTGCTGAACAAACCGCTTTGCCAAACATTTGGAGCAGGTACGAAGCACCCAGAAGAGCCTGCAGGATGCCTGCGTGTGGGAGATCTCT